TGGCTCGGTGGAGGGAGTTACCTAAGGTGAACAAATAGGTTGACCTAAGGTGAGCCCAGGTACAGGGGTGAGGGGTTGGTTGCATTTGCCTCTTTGCCTCGAGATGGCAGGGGCCAGGAGAACCTGGAAGGGAAGCAGGCACGCCGCACGCCTACGCCGCACGCAGCAAGGAGGGGAAAGTAAGAGAGGTGAAGCGCCAAGGGTAGGCACGAATACGTACCTGATTCCTGACTCCAATGCTCTGGAACTTGGAGGTCTTTGACAAGCTGACGTGCCTGCCTCCCTCTTCAGAGTAGACACATCAATAGGTACCTACCTTATCAAACACACACCCGACAGGCGACAGGTACATTTCTCAGAAGCCTCGGATGGGAGGTGAGTGGAAATGTAGAAATTGTGAAGGGTGACGGGAGGGACACACTGGACGGTGACCCGGCACAGCTGCCCCGACGCTGCGCTGGTCACCTTACCTTACCTTACCTACCTTACGTAGTACCTACAGACTGAGAAGAGGTACACAGCGAGCAGCGTGGTGAGGTGGGGAGTGGAGTGCTTGGCTGCTAGTGGAAGCAGGTAGACCTGGGCACCTGAGCACCTGGGCACCTGAGCACCTGAGCGAGCACCTCCTCCACCAGGTTTCGTCCCAAGTGCCAAAACCTCCTTTGACCACCTGCACCGTCTCTATTCGTACCACCTGCCTACCCAGCTACCTTACCTTACCTTTACACGCCCTGACAGTTCGCTGCCGAAATTCGCCCATCACAATAATCTCTCACTCCGCATCAGATATTGCATCACTCTGAACCATCAAAACACCAGACCATCATACCCTCTTCGCCTTGCCTGTCCCTGATTGCCAGCCTCGTCGCATCAAGCTACCCAACCACTGCCAGCGCCCTCGACGCAGTACGCAGTAGTGCAGCCCGATCGGAGCCAGTCCTACGGATACTCCGTATTCCGTACAGACACTCCCGTCCTGTCTGTCCCATCTCCCACCATCTTCCATTCTGACTGCACCATCAACTGCGACCGGCACCGACCGCCGACCGACCGAATCGACTTGACCTTCCTCGACATCACCATAACCACCACAACCCACCCCCCTCTTCACCCCTGTGACGTACAAAGAACCATCGCAACAACGGCATCGACGAACACAACCTCAACCTTAGGCGCCAAACACCGCACCACCTACTAGTACTACAGCACCGCATCCATCTCCTCTCCAACTGGCGAAGCAACCTACCTGCCTCCGACGACAGCTCCTCCCTTCCTTCTGTCGACCGAATCATCGACATCTGTTCATGCAAACATCACCATCGCCACACCATCAATAGCCTTCCTACCTGTCTTCGGATGCGCTTTGCATCTCCCTGCTGCTATGGCACTCCAGTATTCAGCAGAGGTCCTTATTCACCTGCGAGAATCACCACTATGCATCAAACCATCTGCTTTACCGCCCGCTGAAGAATGGATGGGGTATGCCGTCACCATATCCCTCAAACAAAACTCCCTCTTTTTCTAATTCTTTCTTCCAGACCACCTCCCGATAACAATCGAACCCAGACCAACGTCACCAAACCCACTACTGACAGAAGAAGCCACGATAATCCCTTGCTTGATCAGACGAATCGTCGCCCTGGCGTTGACCGCCACGTCTCGCGAAACAGCGCCAGTATGTCTCCACCTCGGTGTCTCCTCATTTCCCTCGCCCCTTGAGCAATCCCAACTGACCCAAACTTCAATTGCAGACCCCGAAGACATTATTCTCGGACCTCCTCGAACCGCCTTCGCCTCTGCGACCCTGCGCAATGGCAAACCTTTTGACAATGACAAGGGCCTCAAGGACGCTGACTCGCCCAGTCGCTTCAATTTCCGCAATCGCAATGGCGACACCCCAGAAGGCGACCGCTTCCGCGATTCGAGAAACACAAACTTTGGTCGTCGTCGCGGCGACGGTGACCCACAGGATCAGGAGGGATGGAGTACAGTGAAGCCGCGCAAGAGCTTCGGGCACGAGGGCGCCGAGCGCTTCCAAGGTCGCATGGGCGCTGGTGGTGGTGATAGGCTTCCCAATGAGCGCCGCCCCCGTGATCGCGACGACCGTGAGGGCCCTAGAGATCGTACCCACCGCACCTTCGACCATCACGACAAGGAGCATGACCACGAGGAAGCTGAGCCGCGGCCCCGCAATGGCCTTAGCAGGGGCAAGTCGGAGCCCTGGTTCAAGAATGACAACAGCACCGCCAGTAACAATACCAACAGTGCCAACACTCCTGAGAAGCCTCCGTTGACGGCTCGCGAGCGCATTGACCGGGCCAAGAGCTGGAGAGACCGGAACCGGGAGGCTGAGCCCGTCGAAGAAAAGAGCACTGGCAGAAACTATGAGCGTCGCTGGGAGCGCGGCGAACATAGACAGGAGCGAGAGCCCGAATGGTTCGATGAACCTGCCGGAGAAAAGGCAGGGGGTCACACCGAAGAGGATTTCAAGAAATTCATGGAAAGTATGAAGGCGAGTCGCAATGGTCCTGCCGAGGACAAGGCGCCAGCTGCCGCAGTCGAGGCTGCAATCAAAGCCGAGCAGCCAGCTGTTGCTTCCGCACCCGCTGTGGAGATTGGCCCCGACCAATTCTTCCTCAAGTTCGCTTCTACTGCTGGCTTGGACGTCAGCTCACCGAGCGAGCCCAAGAGAGAGACTCCTTCCAAGTCTAAGACAGGCGGTGGCAAGTCCTCTCGGTTCACCTCATTCTTCAATGCCCCTCAAGATGACCCCACCCAACGAATGAAGACTGAGCCTTCGACACCCATGGCAGGCCTTCCTTTCGGTGGCCCTGATCTATCTGGGCCGGCTCCCGACAATGAGAAGCAAGCTTTCCAAGCATTGCTCATGAAGCTGCAGCGTTCAAATCTTCAATCAGCCACGCCGCCTGCTTCGCAACCATTCCAGGAACCTCCCCCGCCTGCTCGCGAGCATGCTCCTTCCAGCTCCGTCGTGTCGCCCGAGCCATTCCAACAGTATGGCGGCGAGCGCAGAGAGGACCCCCGCCCTCGCATGCCGCAGGGATCCATGTCCATGTCAGATATTCTTGCCCCGCGTCCAACGATGCCTCACCAACAGCAGCCGCCTGCTGCTCGTCAAGACCAACTGCTCCAAGAGCTAGTTGGACAACGCCACCAGGCTTCAAGCCAGGGGTCCGGCCGAATGGAACCAAACCAAGGCCGCAACATGAGCAACACCGAGTTCTTGATGAACTTGATGAGGAACCAACCCGAGCCCCCACGAACGGAACAGCAACTCCTCATGCGCATGCCGCAACCCCAGCGCGCCGCTCAGATCCCGCATGCTCCAGACCGCGAGCCCGACTTCCAGCAGGGACTTCCGCAGGGCGGCCGTGGTTCTCAGCGGCAATTGCGTGGCCAAGGCCCGCCTGGCTTCATGGATGAGGGTTTCCACCACCCTGAGCCAGAAGCGCGCATGCAACCCACGCAGATTTTGCAACGTCCTCCCCCGCCTCCCGGTTTGGACCAAATGAACCCCAACTGGATTCAGCAGGGTGGCGGCGGTCCTCCCATGCCCCCTCAGCAGAGATCCATCATTCCGCCTCCTGGTCTCGCTGGTGGTCCTGGCCGCAATCACCCAATGGCCGCTATGTTCCCCCCGAACTTCCCTCCCGGAGCCTTCCCTCCCCCTGAGGCCATGGCAGGTCCCCCGCCACGCAACATGCCTCCTCCCCCGGGTTTCTTTGGTGGACCGCCTCCCGGATTTATCCCTCCTCCCGGAATGCCTGGCTTCCCTGGTCCGGGCGGACCCGATGGTCATGGCTTCCCCTTTGACGGACGCATGCCTCCCGGCGCCGCTCAGGCGTTCCGGAGACAGTAAACTACCCACATCATGGAACTACCATCGGCCTCTTTAGTAGAGGCTATACTTCCGTAGCATTTCAACTGCTAGTGTTCGAGTCTCATCACCAAATGTTCAGATGTGTGTCTTTGAAAAGGGCATGTTATGAAACACCATAAACGTAAATGTCGTTATAACGACATATTGCTTGTCGGATTTGCTGAACTAGCACCCATCCACTCATCCTCGAATACCAGGTTTCTCCTCAAACGTGGGAGGAGCCCAGTCTATCAGCTTCGCATAGGCGAGGCACCGCCTCAACTACCTCGACGAGGTTACACCTTTATGCGAAACGTTTCCTATGCTTATGAGCGGAGGGAACGCACAACTAAGCAGACATCTTTGTTTTGGCTCAGGCCCACAACGGAAGGGCTCTGTGTCCTCTCAGAAGACAAGGGTTCTAGGTGATGGTACAATCAAGAGCAGAATACAAGGGTGGCGAGTTTCTGAGGAAGGGGGGAGTGGGATAGGATATCCCTCATGTTACCTTTAGTCTACCGCGGTGGACACGAATGAAATGAAATGGATGTTGGTTTTCCTGGCTTCCAAAAAGCTGTGCCTTGCTACCATGGTGAAATATGGTGATGTGATTTGTGCATTCCCTGATGATTGCCTGAACGGTCAATCATGTCAATTGTCTTAATGAGAAAGAGCCAGCCTTTTATTCCATCAACGATATTATCATAATCCACGAGACGGCTTCTGTCAAGTGGAATACGCGAAAAAGATCTGTCGATGATACTCGTTGAGTTTTGTGTGATTTGGTTCCACGATAGATCCAGAGTACATATATACATAGACCATCCGGCTCAGTCAGCCAACTGCCCTCACCCCTTTCCCGCCGGCATCTTCCTCTCCCTCCTCCACATCGTATGCAAAACCCACGGAGAGGTAAGAAGAGGGAAAGCCAAGAAGAGGCCATTTATGGGAATTGTTGCACCCGCCCCTGATTCAACACCAAAGAACGCCACGCTGGCAACAGAATGTGCAAGAAAAGGGGGGGGGGGGGGGGGGTTCAAGGAAAGCTGACAGTGAGATGGGTAAAAATCCATTCGACAGCCAAAATTTCCGCATCCCCCTTCCATTTACGCCTTTCAACTCAATGCTTATCCTTGTCCTTGTGGCTCTTCTTCATACCCAAAAAGTTGCGCTTCTTCTTATCCTTCTCCAGCTTTTGCGGTTTGCCGCCGTCAGACGGGGCAGGTGACGCTCCGCCGCCATTCGCCACGGGCGGAAGAGGCGCGTTGAGGTTCATATTGCTCATCTGAGCCGTTGGCGGCGCGGCGGGACGCCCAGGTAAGCCGCCTGGCGCAGGTGCTCTGCGTGGTCCACCCGCCGGTGACGGTGCGCCCGGCGGTGCCATACCGGGGGCAGGGCGTTGCGCCATAGGGTTGGGCGGAGGGGCAGGCTTCTCATAAACCCACGCAGGAGCACGCGGTGTCGGCCGCTCCATTGGTATGTCGAGCGTGCGCTTGTCCTTGCCCAAATCGCCTACTTGGCGGACGTAAAGTTGAGGTGTGAGCATGTGGCTCGTCACCAGGAAGATGTCCTTGCCTTGGCGGGCGGAAACGTCGTAGCAAGCACGGCTCTCGCTGTATGTTGCGCCACCAGCCATGAAAACAATAAAGCGCTGTCGATTTTCAGGTGGTCGTCGGCCAGATGATGCCCAATTCGGCCTACCGGCACGCAATGAGCCTTGTTGTGAGGCCAAGAGGTCCTCGTTGGGATCAGCTGGTGGCTTCACGTAAGGGAATGTGGTTTGATCGAGAGTGCCTCGGCAGAGTTCATCAAGCATCGTCTGCATAGCCGTCTCGAAACGTGATAGCGAGTATTCCTCGCTGATCTCTGCTGCTTTGGTGTTCTTTTGGAACAGGGGCGGTTGAGGAGGTCGAACGTCTTTTAGGCCACCACGCACCGGGTGTCCGCCCAGCATCTCGAGGTTGACTACTATTTCCCCGTCTCCTTGCGGCAGGCCCGAATGCGCGAGCAACCGGTTGATATCCTCCATCACAACACCGTCTCTATACAGCACGTAGAGAATGATCAGGCGCAATCTGTCTGATGGGGTGATGGCGTCGTCGTCCAGAAGTCGCACGACTTGGTCCAATATGTTTTTAGGCTTCCTGAAGTCCTCGTCCAATCCTGTGGCAAGAGTCTGCTCTACCGAAGCAATGTCTGGCAGCTTGTGATCTTGGAATTTGTTCATGGCTTCTTGTGCCAGACTCAGATGAAGTGAGTACGCCTCCTTCATCTCTTGGAACTGCGGCAAACCAGCCAGCATGTCTCTGATGGCGTTCAAGCTCGTCGTCTCCTGCTCCTCGTTGGTGAAATTAGGGTTAGACTCCAAGAACTTCCGGAAGTCTCCCATTAGTTTATCAATAGTATCTTTCATGTGTCGGTGTCGGTTGTCGACCCAGACCGGATCCTTGTCAGATAGCTCCACGTCTTTCTCTTCCTCTTGTGCGGTGCCCTCGTTTGTGACCATGCGATATGTCACCTTGTCTCCATCTTGTATCGGGAGAAGGTCGTGGGCCATTGCCTGATATGTGAACTCGTGAACCAGAGGCGCCAAGATATCCATTGATCTGTCCGTGATGACGAGCGTTCCCACGGGCCGCGACGACTGTGGTGGAAAGTTTGGGTTCCACTGCGCATATTCGTCCAACTCCTCCTGCACGAAACGAGCTAGATGAGAGGCAAGCACGGCGGCTTCATGGAGAGGGCTCTTCGGTCTGTAGTATCGGACTTTTGGGTACTCGCCAAGTGTAACGCACACGCCGGTGATCTGATCTGCTCGTCAGCAAGGCAAGTTGTGTAGCCTGCCATCTGTCTGTTACGAACCTTCTGTGCTAGAATCTTCATGTGTCGCGCCACCAAATTGTTGCACGCGGGGTGGTAAAGAATTGGAAAGCTCCAAGGGTCTTTGAAGGTGATCAAATGCGACTCCCGAGGGAAGAAATCGATCGACAAGGTTTCGAACCCCGCGATGCGTTGCTTGGCCGGCGGACAGCCATCAATCATGCGACGGATCCTCGGATCCAAGACACCGGTCCACACCAGGTACGCTTCCTTGTATCTGCGGCGCTCAAAGTCGTTGATAAGGATTTCGACGATATTCTCTTTCGGGGACAGAATGTAGATGGCGTCCATTTCAGGATTCATATCTCGCTTCTGCTCGATTCGCTCGATGTCTAGAGGGAGGTTAGGACTTGTACCGTTGCAAGGAGGAAACGTGGCCGCGCGACATACTGGCGATATTGTTGTTGAGAATGTCATCTTCCTTGACAACGTTATCTATAATCTTGTGGGAGTCGTCGTCAACAACTAAGACTTTCCACTATGGGTTTCGTCATGGTTAGCTTGTTGACTCGCAGGCAGCCCGCCAGGTATCGGGTGGATCTCACGTCGCCTCGTGTAATGTTCTTGATTGTGTCGATGATGACTGTCCAAATTGTCAGTATCGAGAGCGGAAGAGGCTTGCAGAGCATCGTGGGCTCTCGGGCTTTGAGCCAGCTCACCGTCATGCTGCTCTTGGAGCGTGGAGACACCCATCGTGGCAAGTTGCCGCGTGGGCAGCGGACAACTGGCAATGCGTCGTGTAAGGGAAGCGGAAGTTGTCGCTCTGAGGTAGAAGGTTGTCGGACGGCGACTGTGATCGAGCGACGACGATGGGCGGGTGCGCCTGTGTAAATTGAGGTGCTACACAGCTAGCGTGGCAGCGAAGTTAAGAAAGGCGGACAAGGCTGGAGGAATGCGCGTTGTCGAGCTTTATGAATCGTGGGGCCCAGGTCCTGGAGAATGAGACGTCGGGTGGAATTCGAGAGCCACCAGGTATGTATGTTTAGCTGGGAGATTGGTGGTTGTTGTCTTGGGCTTCGTTGTCGTCGTTGTTTGGGTCTGGCGGGGTTTCAAGATGAACGAAGGACCGGTCGCAGTTGTGGGACTTTCAATGCTCCGAAGACTCAAACCGGAGCTTGGGGAAGGGGGAAAGGAAGCAAGGCAAGGTCTGGCAGGGTACGTTCCTATGCGGTCAGACAGCTTTGTCGTGGTATGGTGGTGGTGGTGGTGGTGGTAGTGGCAGGTGAGGTGGGTGGGTGAGGTGAGTTGGAGGAGTTACGATCGGAAGAGGCAAGATTGGTCGAGCTCGCACAGCACTAGGAGCTGTGTTACTATGTAGTAGGAGGGATGTCTGCAGTGGGAAACGTGAGTTATCTGGTCTATCGTCAAGGTTGACCGGAAGAAGGTAAACGCAATGACCTGATGCGACTGGAAGTCAAAAGGCCAGCAGGTTCAAGGCTTGGAAAGACAGAGGTAGAAGAACGGGAGAGGCAGGTAGTTCCACGTCCCAGTCCCCGTTCCCAGTTCCATTTCTGGTTCCATTTCCCGTTCCACTGCGCACCGCACCGCTACTTTCCTCAGTACTCCCGCCCGCGCTTCAAGTTGAGGCCCAGGAGGGGGGGCGGGGCCCGGGCAAGCAGGGCCGTAAGGTACTCTGTAGTCCTGGGCTCCCCATTGGAACTGGCCTGACCCCTCGCCCAAAATGCTATGCAACACAAATCCTGGTACGGATACTGCCCAGCACCTTAGGACAGGTACTTGGAGGTACTTAGCCTAGTGCCATACCTACCTTACATACTTACACAGTCAGGTAGGTAGTGCAGCGGCATTCCCCCACTTTTGGCCCCCAAAGGAGCGATGAATGAGGTCACCGCCTTCCAGGTTCGCACCTGCACCTCACAACGGCGGCGCTTTTTGAAGATGCGGCGGCGGCACGGCGGGAGATATTCTCGTAGCCTCCCCGTCGCAAGGATGATGGTTGTTTGCTCAAGACAATCCCTTGTGTGTTTCAAAGCCAATCTCTTACCCGTCTCTTCGTCAGCTTTACCTATTCCACTCCATGGCCAAGCCATTGTTCTTCGTGATGGTCGTTTTTGGATATTACGAGTGTGAACTGCGGTAATTTGGCAGTATTTGGAAGTCTTGTAATAGTTGTACAAGGCAAATTCACTTGATCAAGGTTCAAGACCGTACATCTGTAAATTAAAACGGATTTTGATGGGCTCAAGTTTCGTTATTCGTCCTCCATTATGGGTATCTCATTGCTTCTCATGACTCCTATCCCCTTATAAACCGGTCCCCAGGTATTTGTCAATGTCTTCGCTGGCGTAAAACATCTCTCGCAACCTCTCAGCCTTTCTCTTGTCTTCATCGGCCTTCTTTCTGCATTGCTTCGCATCCAGCATCTGCGGCTTCTTCTTTTCAATTCTTCCCTGGATGCCTTTTGGGATCTTGAGACCCAAACCGTATTTGTCCTCCTTTGGTCGAGTCTTCAGGGGATACTGCATGCCTTGCTCTTCGGCACCGAGCCCCTTGCGTGAATCAGGGTCCCAGCCATGGGATGAAAGATATGTCAAGCCCATGCGCGACCGATCTAGTGCTGATGGGGGATGTGAGTGTGTGAGGCAGACTTGGTGAGCAATTGAAGACTCATGCTGCTTCTGTCTACTTGTCGTGGGCTTGTTATTGTCATTGCCGACCTCTCTCACGGCGTCGTCTTTATCCACGGGCAACTCGCACACGGCGCATACTTGCCCTGCTGCTGGCGAAGGCTTTTCGGCTTCCGCTTGCTTCTTGTCGCCGAGCACGAGGCTGAGGTAAAAGTCGCCAACGGAAGCGCCGCTTTTTGTTTTATTGGCCGCCTGTGTCGTACTCAGGTTTGGATCTGATGCCTTGACGAACTGGATGGGCTTGCGGCTGATTCCCGCGCCAAAGGGTCGACGATGTTGAAGCGGTACGTCCTCTTCCTCTTCATAGTCCTCGTCGTCTTCCACCCGTCGCCGCATTTCGGCAATACTTGCACAGCACACTTGCCACCACCTGTTCCTCGGCAAGTGCACTCGTGGAGGAGAACTCGAGTTATGTCGAGTGTTGCCGTCTGCTAGTGCAATGATATGGTGAGATGAAGGGGCAGGGTGATGGAGGAACGGTTGATGAAGAAGTTCCACTTCTTCGACAAGGGGGCGAGACCAACCCCATTATGTCAGCTAGGCAGCCAGCGGCGGCCTCAATCCCCTGCAAACTCTGCGATTAGTGCCCCTGGATTCTGGAAGCCACCGCCGCTGGGCTGCCGGCAGAGTGGGACCGCCCCTGTCATCGCAATTCGGAAATCCCCTGGCGGCACATCAGCTTTCCACTCTGTTCTAGAAGGCAAGCTGGCGGCTTCGTCACACACTCGAACAACTTACGCATATTTCGTACGCACGCAAAGGCAAACGCCCTCATCGACCGGCCTGCTTTCTCAACGACCTCATCCACGACACTGCAACGAGTCCGAGTCGTCCGCCCATACGAATACGCCTTCGAAGCATTGCTACCCCAGCATGCTCGACAGTCGCCCATAGACACGCCTTTTCTCCAGCTTTAACCCAGTCACTCGCTCGCAATGCCTCTCGATTACTTTGGCTACATCGCCGAAGCCGGCCTCCCGACATATGTGACGGAGAACTGGTGGTTCATACTCAAGACCGCCGCGGCGGTAGCGGTCCTCGTCTTCATCAAGCTATGGAGCTCGGGTGCTTCCAACACGGCCGAGCGAGACATGCACGGGAGGGTAGTCATGATAACGGGCGGGACGTCGGGCATAGGAGCGACGACGGTGCTAGAGCTCGGCAGCCGCGGCGCACAAATCATCCTCCTCACGCACACCCCCGTGTCGGACCCCTTCCTGGTCGAGTACATTGGCGACGTGCGCGCCCGGACCGGCAACGAGCTCATCTACGCCGAGCATGTCGACCTCTCGTCCCTGCACAGCATCCGAAAGTTTGCGACGAAGTGGATCGACAACTCCCCGCCGCGCCGGCTCGACATGATTATCCTCGCCGCTGCCACAATCACCCCGGCGTCGGCTAAGCGTAAGGAGACGGTCGAGGGCATCGAGGAGACGTGGATGGTCAACTACCTCGCCAACTTCCACCTGCTCTCCATCCTCAGCCCCGCCATCAAGGCCCAGCCCTGGGACCGCGACGTGCGCATCATCTTCGCCTCGTGCTCTTCCTACATCGGCTCCCCGTCCCTCAAGGAACCCCTCGACAAGAAGACGTGGTCGCCGGGTACGGCCTACAAGCGCAGCAAGCTGGCGCTCATGGTCTTCGGCCAGGCCTTCCAGAAGCACCTCGACAACTACAAGCGGCCCGACCAGCTGCCCATGAACGCGCGCGTCTTCTTCGTCGACCCGGGCTTCAGCCGCACGCCGGGCATGCGTCGCTGGCTTTCGCGGGGCTCGCTGCTCGGCCTGTTCGCCTACATTGCCGCCTACCCGCTGCCGTGGCTCTTCCTCAAGAGCCCGGAGCAGGGCGCGCAGGCGATCCTCTACGCGGCCATGGAGTCTAGTCTCGTGCGCGCGGGCGCCGGCAAGCTGATCAAGGAGTGCCGGATCGTGGACTTTGCGCGGACGGAGATTGAGGACGACGAGGTGGCCAAGAAGCTGTGGGAGGAGAGCGATAAGCTCATTGAGACGACGGAAAAGGACTCGGCTGCTCTCAGGGCGCTGGAGAAGAAGATGGAGGAGGAAAGGGCCAAGGAGGCCAAGGAGGCGGAGAAGGTGAAGGAGGTTGAGTCTCTAGTTGAGGCTATCAAGAAGGGCAAGGAGTCGCAAAAGGCAAAGGGTAAAAAGAAGTCCAAGAAGGAGACATCATAAAGTCTTGGAGGCGTTTGGATGCCCTCTATATAGATTACCTACTTAATGAGAAAGCAAGTGGCTGCTAACACAGTCACTTGCACGAACGCTACATGCATCTTTCCCGGGAACATTAACTTACTTTGGCTTTATAAAGTATTGACTATTGGATTTATGTTAGACCAAAATCCAATAAGAAAGGAAGAAGGAGGAATACTGGTCTTATAATTCATGCCCCTGGCCGGACTCGACAGCTCGCCCCTCAGTCAACCCGAACTCTGACTTCATATATTTGTTAATTTTAACCAATCCGACCACCTCGCACACAGCTTGACCTGGTATCGCCGACCTAGACGGGCGCTGATGTGCTGGTGACGGGAATGGGATTGGAGGGGAGCTATATACCTTGCCTTTGGGACTCGGGCTCTTTCTCACCGTTGAGCTCCAAAAGTCCGGGGGGCCCGCCCCCACCCTTCACGGTGCAAGTGCCGTGGCCTCGGGTGCCATTACCCCAAGACTTGGAGCTCGGCGAGCAAGGGGGGGGGGGGGGGGGAGGGGGTGCGGGGTGTGGTTTACTCCTTTCGCTGTAGTGCGTCGGGCTCCTGCTCGCTAGGGGGACACAAGAGCCGGGGGCGCCCCCCCCCATCCGCGATGGGGCTGGGCGGGGGGGTGGGGGGGCACGCGCTCGGGGGGTGGGGGGGGGGGGGGGGGGGGGGGGGGGGGGGGGGGTAAAGTTGCGCGTGTGTAATCTTTCCCCGCAAGGAATAACATGACGACAGAATCTCAAATCAACATACGCTCTTGTAAACGATGCCGACCTTGAAGTGAAGCTTTAACAGCCTCCTGTTTTCGAACCATAGAAGTTACACATAATTCTTTTTTGAGCTACTCGGCAGATACAATGTCCAACGCCGCGACGTCATTAGGCATGGCGCATCACACCGCAACAACCGCGACATCACTACCTCGGCATCACGCAGTCGCTGAGACAGGAATGGCGCAGCGGCAGCACTATCATCAGCAGCATCAACAGCACCAGCAGCACCAGCAGCAGCATAACTCATCAACTCGGCATCCCGTCTTCTTCACGGAGAAGCTGCGGCGGCCGCCAGTCACCCTGGCGCCTGGCATGGGCCTCAGTCCCGTAGCGCACGGCTACGTCTATCAGGATGGGCGAAGGAGGCTGACGGCAGAGGGAAATTCCGCGCCGAAGCTGTGATGGGAGTGGGATTGAGTGTGGTTCAAGTTTCACACTTTTTTTTTCATTTTTCCAACTCTCAGTTGGACGAGCAATGCATATCGAAGCTTCGTGGGGGAGAGCAGTACTGTCAGTTTTGTGAGGCTGGCGTAGTTGAATACCTAGTCTTTGCCGAAGCCGACGAGGTGAATAGGTGCTTTGGAGGAGAGTTTGCTAGAGGCGCCTTCTGTTCAGTCTGATAGATGGCGAATACCCTCATGCCACTTCAGGATTGTTCATTTTCTTGGGTCAAATTTCATTCATCATGGCTTCTCGCGCAAAGCTGATGGGCGCTACCTACGTAGGGTGGCTATCGCCCGTCTTAAAGTATTGGGGGGAAGGAAGAGCAGTCAGGAGGATTACGGAGTGGTTGATTGAGAGCTGTAATGCTCGAGAGTCAGCGACCCTTGTGTGTTCAAGACATGACTGATGAGCAAGAGAATTACGAGGTCCCTGAGAAGTTCAAGTTGTCTGAACTGACTAGACATCCATCTAGGATAGTACGCAATGCCCAGAAAGGAAACGAAGGGAGGACAGGCGAGGCAAAAGGTGCAGTGAAGCTCAAGGGATGTGGTGTGTCAGGTACCACTAGGTTATACTGGCCTCTCTAGGACAAAAGTGTACATACTAGAGAGCATCGGCATGGAATATGGATCGATCGATGAGATTTGGCTTTGAATGGGCTACGGATGTCTAGTCATGAACTGCCTGGAATGATCTATCTCTCGTGCCGCTTCTCTGTCAATTTCTGGTGGGACCATTTCTGATTTTGTCTTGCCGATTTATATTCGGCTTCGGATGTGCTACCCAGTACGTTGAAATTGTTCGGCTCAAATGATAGAAGCTCAACAGGATTACTCAACCCTCCTAATCATTATCTCATTACCATTATCATATACTCAAGATATACTGAATCCATCTTCAGAGAAGGACCGCTATGCCGCGTTCTAAGCATTGGCATACACGAGTGATGAGTGGAAATGAATTGATTAATTTACTTGTATTTCGATGTGGTTCCTGAACCCACAAGTGACAGTTTAGGAGATGTGTGGTTGAGTGTAACCCCATCGAGGGTTTCTTCATAACGAAAATCAAAAGCCTCCGTCGTTTTGTTTCCCAAAAAAAGTTGCGTTTCCCGTTTCGCCATTTCAAGCCAAACCATTTGCCCAATTTGACTAGCAGCACTCTACACCATCGAAACACGTCGCGTTCATGTGTACATAGCCCCGTGCCCGCTACACGAAGCCAATTCGAAGCCAAACTCTCCCAAACTAGCACCAGGCGAAAACAGTTGTCCTGCTTGCTTTTAGTTCTTCACCGCAATCACAATGGCGAGTACGATGAGCACCACGACCAGCGTGAGGAGCGCCATCAGCTTGACGTTCTTCCACCACATCTTTCTCTTGAGACCGCGGCTGCGGACGCGGAACTCGCGCGCGCTGCCGCCGAGACGGTCCGTCTTGTCGACGAGCAAGTCGATGCGCTCGCCCCTCTCGAGCAAGCCCTCGATATTGCGCGTCATGATGCCCCGGACATCGTCGATCTCGCGCTGGACGTTGGAGATTGCGTCGTCCTTGCCGCCGCTCGTGGTGCCGAAGTCGACCATGAACTTCTTGAGCTGGCCATTGTAGCTGGCGGCGCCGTAGTTGGGCAGCTCGGCGTAATCGGTCGTCTCGGCGGGGAACTGCTCGAGGAAGCGGCGGCGGATCTCAAAGAGGAAACCAAAGGGGATGCGGCGGCCCAGCGAGGCGTCGGCGATGACGAGGAAGGTGAGGCCGCCGGCGGAGGGGTGGTCTGGGTGATCGGAGGGCGCCTCGGCGATGTAGTGGATGTGGTGCGAGCCGTGGGTGTAGGTCAGCTTCTGGGGGGTGTTGTGCTCGATTTTGGGGAGGATGACGGAGGCGAGGGAAGAGGTTTGCGATACGGCCGATGTGGTGCATTCGCTGAGGATGGTGTTGTTGTGCGCTATGCACGAGCTATAGGACAACGGCATGTCAGTAATGTGTCCAACAGAGGGGGCAGATTCGAGCCGGGAGGGAAAGGTCGTGGCCGTCTTCTTACTAGAGCAACGGGGTGATAGGCGTCGATGAAGAAGCCATGATGATAGGTATTGGGGTGTCCAAAGGATCTAAGGGGCCTATCTTGAGATGCTTTCGATTCCTTTTCAATACACAGAAGGGAGAATAGGCAACGATATTCGAGATGCGACGGCGGGCTGCGTACGTTCGTAGGTGGTGTAGACGGGTCGGAAGTCGGCGTGATGGGCGCTGTCGCAGAATGCAATGTGGGAACCTGGGGACCTGGGGATCTGGATGCGTGATGACGACGAGGACGGTGCAATCGGAGGCGGAGGCGCTAAGTCGGAGTGGGGCGACCCACGCTCACCTGCCAAGGGCGAATCAGGGGTCATGGCGATAAGCATTCCAGACCTCTTATCGGTTCCCAAAATTTCCCAGTGCCTTCATGGATGTCAGTGACCACCATGCTCCTCCCACTGCATAGGTGCACGACTGCGAACGGAGGGTAGCACGTAGACGATCTTGTCATTAACATACCCAAACAGGCATGCTTTTTGCATGTTATTAGCCATGGTTTGTTGCGCAGCAATTCGCCCACCATGAGATCAGTTTTGCGAGCCACGAAGCTCTGCGCGGCGGCGACACGTCTTGCGCCAGGCCATGGCTTCGCAACATCCTCTCCGTCCGCCTACCAGGTACGCGGCAGCTTCTGCCTCCCTATTCCACTTACCGGACACATTCTGATCATTGTACTTTGCAGGCGACACTTGAAAGGTATTCTACCAGGAAATACTCACCTCCCGACCGCAAAACATCCAAATACGACGTCTTCAGGAACATGATTCTCACTCAGTTCAACGTCGTCATTGACAACATGGGACGTTGGTCAGAGACCAATACCGAGTACCGAGACTTTGGGGTTCGAAGCGAGTATGGCCTCAATAACGAAATCGCCCTATTCCGCGACACCATACAAAAAGCCATCGGCTTGGCCAACAAGGGTGCAACATTACGCAAGGAGAACCCGTTGTTCTGGTCCCTACGAAACGCCTTCATCCGTGGCGACGTCAAGGGCCTGACGGCAGAGCTGCGATACTCGTTCCAGAGCTTCATGCTGCGATCGAAACTGACACACTCGACGGCGCGGCAGAGGAAGTTGGCTGATTTGCGGTATCCCATGGAGTGGTTTCCCGCCACACGAGCCATGCAGCGCACAATTCACTTGCACGTCGGACCGACGAACTCTGGAAAGACATATCGGGCGTTGCAGGCTCTGATGAACTCCAAGTCCGGTATTTACGGAGGGCCTCTTCGTCTCCTGGCCCACGAGATCTACTCTCGGTTCCAGGCCAACGGGAAGCCTTGCGCCATGATCACAGGCGAGGAGCAGCGCATACCGGACGCCGATAATTACTTCATCAGCTGCACCGTCGAGATGACGCCTCTGAATCGGATTGTTGATGTGGCGGTTATAGACGAGATTCAGATGATTGGTCATGATGAGCGAGGGTGGGCGTGGACTCAGGCACTCCTCGGGGTCATGGCGAAAGAAGTCCATCTCTGTGGCGAAGAACGAGTTGTCGACCTCATCAAGTCCATCTGCTCAAGTATCGGCGATAAGTGCATTGTTCATCGGTATGAAAGACTCAGTCCGTTGCAAACGATGGAGAAGAGTCTCGGCAACGATCTTTCCAATCTGGAAAAGGGCGATGCCGTTGTGGCTTTCACGCGTGTCAACCTTCACGGTCTGAAGAACGCCATCGAGGAGACAACCGGCCGTCGATGCGCTATTGTCTACGGTTCACTGCCACCTGAGACCCGTGCGCAGCAGGCAGCTCTGTTCAACGACCCCAACAATGACTACGATTTCTTGGTGGCTAGCGATGCCATCGGCATGGGCCTGAACCTGGAGATCAAACGCGTCATCTTTGAGACGTCAATGAAGCACGACGGTACACAGTATCGTTCGCTGACGACATCCGAAATCAAACAAATTGGTGGTAGAGCAGGAAGATACAAGACTGCTCGGCAGGCAGCTACTGCAACGAGTGATGAAGCCAACCAAGTTGAAGAGAAGAAGGTTGGCTACGTTACAACGCTTGCTGACGAGGATCTGCCCGCGATTGCAAAGGGGTTCAACACTGAAACGGCACCGCTCGAGGCTGCAGGTATTCACCCCCCATCGCACATTATTGAGCAGTTCGCCGAATACTTCCCTCCCGATACGCCTCTCAGCTTTATCCTCTTGCGATTGCGCGAACTCGCGCCCGTCTCGGAGCGCTTCACGGTCTATGTTCCTGAAATCAGCGCCAAGATCGCAGACACCATCCAGGAGTTCCCCTTGACGATTCAGGACCGCATCACCGTTCTTCACGCGCCAATCTCACTTCGGGAGCAGGGACAGATGGACCTTCTCAAGGCCATTGCCAAGTGCATCTCGACGAGGAGCAACGGCGCCCTATACGATATCCAGCCCATCCAGCTGGAGCTGCTTGACGCCACGCTCGAAGACTTCAACAATCAGGGAAGGCGGTACCTTCACGCCATCGAGTCCCTGCACGCGGCCATCACCTTGTACTTGTGGGTGAGCTACCGCTTCCCCAACATCTTCACGAGTCAGGCGCTCGCGTTCCACGTCAAGGACGCCGTCGAGGAGAAGATTGAGTTCTACCTCGAGAACAACGCCGTCTTCGACCCTGAGGTACACACCAAGGTCCGTGAGAAGCGACGCAGAGAGGCGAGGGCCAAGGATATGAAGGCGGAAATGGAGGTCGAGCTACGCAGACTCCAAGAAGAGGAAGACAAAAGTAGTGCAGAGAAGCTCGCTGGTCTCGCGCCTTCCGAGGACGACTCTATCGTTTTTGACCAGAGCTCTGCGGGGCTCGATGAGCCTCTGGTGGTGGATGAGAGTGATTATGAGACCGGGCTGAAAGACAAGGAGGAGAAGCCGAAAGAAGAGTCTGCCGTCTAATAGGACAGTCTCAGACTGGAGGCTGAAAAGGAGCTTTGGGAGCTTCGGCTTATGTAAAACAATGTAGTCTTGTAGCTACACTCACTTGTACAATATTCTGTCTGGTGGCACAGGCAAAGCATATCGAAGGCATGAGTAAGGAGGCTTAGTTGGGGCCTTGTATACTATAACACAGACATCACGAAAGGAGTAGGAACAGGATATAATCCAGAAGAAGATATAAGATAGACATCATAGGATTCTAGAAATACCCTCCACACATCTTAAAGAGGAACTGTACCATTCGCAGGTGGTCAAACTCTGAATATAAGAAAGTCCTTGGCTGGCGTCGCTCTACCCCAAGCTCCAAACTGACCACCCCGCATTCTGGGCTCACCGCAGGCGACCCCTGCCGGTTACCTCACCGACCCCACCATGTATCCCAGTTGCTCTTGGAGGGGCAAAGTGACATGGCAGCTCTACCTTGCTTGTCTTCTCAGCAACTCCAACTGGCCCGCGCCCTTCATCCTACATCACCCAAGCAAACGCAACACTCTGTCAAATCCCTTTCACAAACCACACCCACACGTTACAAACCAACACTGAAAATCAAATAACCAGGGCGGAACAAGACAGCAAAAACACGAGTCCTCCAGAATGACATCCACAAACCCCGAACCCTCCGCCGCAGCCCCGGCCTTCATCCCCCTCGAAGCCAACCCGGAGCTCATGACCTCCCTCCTCCACAAGCTCGGCCTCTCCCCGGCCCTCCAGATCCACGACGTCTACTCCCTCACCGACCCGGACATGCTCTCCTTCGTCCCGCGCCCCGCCCTCGCCGTCCTCCTCGTCTTCCCCGTCAGCGCCGCCTACGAGAGCCATCGACTGGCCGAGGACGCCCTGCTGGACGAGTACAAGGGTAAAGGCCCGCGAGAGCCCGTTTTGTGGTTCCGCCAGACGATTAGGAATGCGTGCGGTCTCATGGGGTTGTTGCATGCTGTTGCTAATGGGCCTGCGAGGGAGTATATCCGTACGTATCCGTCACCCTCCCGTCACGCCGTTCTTCATATACCTTCTTTTCCTGCCTTTCCTATACAAGCTACTTCGTTGTGATGCAACGTTGGTTCTGACGAATGAACAGAGAAACCATCCGACCTCAACACCCTACTCGAAACAGCCGAGCCCCTCGAACCCGCCTCCCGCGCCCAGCTCCTCGAGAAGACGCCCGCCCTCGCCACGGCGCACCGCGAAGCCGCGTCGCAGGGCGCGACCGAGGCGCCCGAGGCCTCGGACGACGTGGACCTGCACTACGTCTGCTTCGTGCGCGGCGACGACGGCACGCTGTGGGAGCTCGACGGGCGGCGCAAGGGCCCACTGAACCGCGGCCAGCTCGAGTCCGGCGAGGATGTGTTGAGCGAGAAGGCGCTGACGTGGGGCCCGCGTAAGTTCCTCGAGAGGGAGGGCGCGGATTTGCGGTTTAGTGCTGTTGCGTTGGCTGGGTCTCTTGATTGAGAGGTCGAGGTTGGATGATGGAACAGGTATAGCATGTTATTTGGCGTTTAGGTTGGGCGTGGTTCAATTATTCTCTGTTCAATCCAGAGGAGTGAGATGAAGATGTGAGGACGAAGGGTTCAGCTTTTGCTGTGTTCAGAGAATGACTAGAGGAATGACTACTCGTTACGTAGGTGTATTTCCACGATCGTGTCCACCACCATGGACCGCTCTATCAAAGTCAGTCTACCGACGCCTACTTCTACCGACTATTTGACTTCCAAAGCTGCGCTGAGTCCCGTGACTCAGGCTTCCTCCACAACTGGCCGGTCGTCCTTCTATCTTCGTCTCTACGTCCCTCAGAAGGAGTGTTGGCGGGCTCCTGGAGATCGAAGTCGAGCGGGCCAACATCCTCTCGCATATCTGACTGATCTTCCGCGTCTAGGTGTTTGTATTGACAGCGTTAGTCTTAGGTAAACCGATGTATAGCGAAAAGTGCACTTGCCTTCCGTTACTACAACCTCCTTGAACTCGGTGGACGACTTTCTGTGGGCCTGGGCTCCGGTATCAGGCCCGCTGGTAAGCCCCAGGCTCATGTGAAGAAGCTCGGAAGGAAGCGAGTTGAATTCCGTCTTGGACTTTCTGTGAGAATCGGCGAGGTTGTCAGTTGTAGTGGGCGTTGCCTTCTCCACTGCCTTTGACGTAGAAGAGTACTTGACTCCGACGGACGGTGGAATGCTCTCCGAAGCGAGATCGGGCCAGTTTCCCGGCGTCTGCTCTCCGTATTTGTGGTCATTGGGTGTCTCTGGTGCCTGCGCCTGCGCGGCATGACGAAGATCATGAGTCAAGGTGAGGTATTTGGGTAGTGCATTATCCCCGTTGGGCGTGGCGAAGGGCTTGTCAGAAGCGGAAGAAGGAGAAGACTTGGTACTGAGCGGGGGGCTCTTTCTCGTATCCTCGATGATGGGGGAGCCGTCGTGCTCGGTGAAGAAGGGAACCTAACCCTGGTTGGTGTCGGCCTGCTGTTGGGGCTGGTTGTTGTCTGGCATCGTTCCTGGAGGATAGTTGGGACAAGGACAGTATGCTGGCAGCCAAGCTAGTTGTTAGGACAGCTTCTGGAGGGGTACTATGTGATCAGGGAATCGAAGGTGAAGATGCTGAGGAGGTGAGGCGTGTGGTGATTTGAATCGCAATTATCATGGGCTAAGAGGTGGTGATTGTACGATGAAGATGGAGATGGTATTAGACGAGGATGCTTCGTGTTGGTAGTCGTCACAAAGAGGTCTCCCAAGGTGTGTGTGCCTTCTCGTTGGACTTCATTTACATCATGGAAGGTCCGGGTTGCCTCGCTCCTTCATTGGAAGACGCCTCGAAGACTAGGGAGAAGGCGCCTCCCCTCATTTTCTCTCCCATCAAGTGCCTACATGACCTCACTGGTAGGCAACTGCAAATTGCAAAGGTAGAGTCACAGGTCTCTTGCCTCTGCCAGTTCGATCACGTACCATACGCAACGGAGATTTCTGCCCTCTTTAATTTGTCACGGTACTTATGTTGAGATTGTTATCAAGTCCACAGCCCAATCACCGTAACCGTTGCATGATCTGCTTACTTAGGCTTACCTGAAATGTCAATCTTAAGTACTTACTTAGTCAATCGAAGTATGCTCTTTGCGATCGGCAACCGGAACCTACGAGATGTCATAAGACCCCTCGTGTTCGAGCTAGTCACGGATGAAAGACCCCCTCTGAGTCTTGACACTCCGACTTGGTTTACTCGTGGAAGCCATCTTGATAAGACTCCGGGGAAAGCCTCAAACCAGTGCCTAGTGGTAGTTGATGGTGTGTAGACCTGTACCCAATGATAACCTCAAGACTGACTTCCCCTGAGGCACTTGGAGGTAGTCTTTGAAGAATTGGGTCTAGTGCGTGTGATGACACCGGCAGCGAGAGATGAGGCGGCGCCACGACACTTGTCTGCAGCAGTTGAATCATTCTTGGCAACTCCGGCTCCCACCGTATTCATTGTGCCATATATCGAGGATTCGAAGAGTTCATCCAGTTTCTCGGGGTTGGAAGCTCGTACTATAGTTATTGCAACAGCAGTAATCGAACGCGGGTTTCATCCGGAAGCTTGTTTCCCTCGCTTCTCCGCGCAAGGCTTCTGTGATTGTGAGGCTCCCCAAGCCCCGAAAGGTCGGACGGACCGCGGGAACACCACCACCTCAGCACCAGCACCATCCACAGTCTGACATGCCCGCTCGGACCTCGGGCTCTGTAGTGTTCAACGTTCGGACGTCGAATGGGAAGCACGGTGCACCGTCCGAGCGGCGCCGGGGGCCGACGTGCTTGAATCTGGGAGAGTTGCGCCGGACTGCGGGTCTCCCGCCCACAAAAGGAATGGGCATACCAGACAGCGTGATGGCGTCCTGGTAGTGTCGCTGGCCTTGCCTCTTCCTGGACCCTTCATTTGTGAACGCGAGGGGTGGTGGAAGATCCTTTCCCCTGAACGGGGTACCCCGCCTGTGCTTGGGTGCGGCCGTAAGTCTGCAAATCAGACCATGATTGAGGTTGGTATGGAGAAGCAAGCTGAACGGGTTCCAGTATAACGCTTCTGGAACCACTCTGCTGCATGACGGCAACCCCTCGGAGTTCTGGATGCATTTTTGAAGCTATCGCTCACTTGAAAGCGCAAGTTGGAGTTGAAAGGCCTATGATGGTAATATCGGGAGCAAATTGGGAGAGTTAGGATAAAACGATCCATAGAAACCACCGTGTTCCACGTGGTGGCCGATCGCCGCTAGAAGGCTAGCCAGATCGCGCGGTATGAAACGCTGAGAGCTTGCCCATATATAGCAAACAATCCACCACTCTGCGGATACGAGCTAGATGCCTCCCCCTGAATAGAGGCGCTTGCCGTTCGCCGGTGAGCAACTTCGGTAAATTAACGTGTTATGGTGCTCAGCTCACCCTGTCATTGTAAGGAAAGCGCAAATGGGACGCTCACGCACCGAACTAGAGAGAGAAGACAGAAAAGAAGGATGGGCCGGGTTCTGTTCGTTTGTGAAGCCAAGCAGCAGATTGCGGCATTGCTGCCGGTAATCGCCGTTTCCCACTGCGGTGTCCGTCGCCATCATGCATCCGGCCGCAACATTGAGAGTGGCTGTTTTCTGTCACATTCTCTAACACAGCTGAAAAGTTGACGCGTCGATACTTTGACGTGATGATGCTCACACAATCTCGTTTCCGGTTGATTCGTGAAAATGGTCCTTTGCAGAAGGAGAAGCAAAGATTGGCGACGGAAAAGAAATATCGGCAGCTGCGAGGCGTCCAGAACATCTACAAAGTACCTAATCCAATACAAGTGACTAAGCAGACTATGTGGCAGGTGTGACGCGGTACCTGACTTCCCGGACTCAGACTCAAGAGTGACGGGCCACGACTCACGGGTACCTTGGGGTTCGCCGACTCTTTCCTGTAACACGGCGGAATTTCCATCAAATATCAATTGATCCATTAATTACCAACATCGAAGGAATTGTTCACGTCTCCGACATCCGTCACACGAAGCAATGCCTCGAGATTATACCATTTTCCCGCCACCACCCAGAATAGAGTCGTTCTGGGCAACTTGGTTCGCAGTCCGTTCAGCTGGGACTAGCAAACCGCACACCGCACACCGCACACCGTACCGAGGTGGCAGACCCTGCATTCATTGAGCAACACCGCAGCTAGCGCCGGAGACTCGATGCTTTTCCAGCATTGTGGCGACCTGAGCAACCATACGCATGACATCTTGTTGACTCGGCCGTACTCCCTTGCCTTGCCTTATGCTTAATGACTTGTTGGGCTTGCCAGCTTGGAGCAATTTGACGCGGCACACACGCCAGCCTCCAAGGTTGATAATTGACTTTCGATGCGTCATTTCAGTTCCATCGAATCGCGGCCAACACATTCGAGGAACAACACCAGGGGCGAATCCCTGAGTGATCTGCTTCCGCCCGCCTCCAATCAGCAGGGGGCGCAGAAAAGATGTCTCGCACACGCACATCTACACCAGGGGCCGGGGACCCTCAACCATGATCAATCCAGGGCCATGCACAGGCACGCTCATGGAAAATACGCAAGCAAGATGGACACAATGCAAGATGCAGGCAGACGACGCTTCAAAACAGATGAGCGGAGAAACGTGTCGTCAACATGGTTCGATACGCGCCGTTTGGCGGGACGACGCCTGCTTTGATGCCACTGCCGATCGACGACTAATACCTCACGACTACCAAGAACAAACACCCATCCGTCTGCGCCGTTGACCACGACCACTCGGTTCGATAGGCATTCCAAACGTCGTGCCCACTTTGACAAAGTCCAGTTTTTCCAAGACCAACGGAGCAAAGCCATACGCTACCGACTGGCGTTGTCCAACAGGAATTCTTTGACTTTGTTCCTGGGACACACTAAGATGGCTAGTCCTCAGACCAGTCACCTGGTGCTGCCAATAAAAGCAGCTGGCAAATGGGCTTCTTTCCAACCCTCGTCGATTGCTTTTTCTCCGAGGTGGCACCAATTACGACGTCTGACCCCTGAACCCAGTGCCATGTTTTCTTCTTTCTTGGATCGGCAGAGTGACCAGCATCGTGGAGGCGCATCGTCGTCCTTTGGAACAGATCCATGCTTGTTTGCGCTTGCAACAGCTATCAAGATCTGGAATCTCCTCCAATCCTCCAGGGTAGCAATTAACCTCGATACCCAGGCACAACCTCGACTTCGAATACCTTGGTACCGACAGGCCGTGACCAATCAGGCTGTTTTGATGGATGGATTGCCTTGGGCTTCCGGTTTGGCAATCGTGATGCCCCAGCAGAAGTTCGCCGAGAAGCGTGGGAACGAGAGACCTCATCCACTTACACTCAAGCCGGACAGCAACACCAACGGCCGGAGGTTCTGAGATACTACAGAGAACTAGACCATGAAACAGGCTTGTAAGCCGTTTCGTGCTCTTCACACCTTTGTTGTCACTTTCGCACGGGCCGCGGTCCATCCCATTCCCTCCCATCCGACCATCTATCCGTCTGCTTACCTGTTTTCGAAACCTTGATGCGCCATTTCGTCCGAGCAACGAGTCTTGTCACCACCACACCACACCAACAAGCCTGTTCTAAGCTTCTTTGCCACTCCTGCGCCATTCCTCAAGGCGCTCAGAAGCCTGTTTGCATCCCAAGACAAACAGATGATTCGGACATGTGGAAATCAGCATCTGATTGAAGCTTCCCCTGCTCCGCCCAAGAGTAGGCAACCTGGAAACTCTGGCTCTCTGCGACGCTTTCTAAAGTATAGTCTTTCTCTTCGCACGTTGTGTATTGAGGACAGACGTCGTCTTCTAAGATGGGCAGAAAGTAGCCACCCGTTCATGTGACGAATTGTGGGTGGGCAGCGATCTGGCCTTTGGACAGACATTCTGGCTCTTCAGAAGGGAAAAAATCTCAATGTCTCGATGCTTGGCCTTTGACGGAAATCATGGCTCTCCCGCGGGGGTGTGTGCTCCATCACACCATGCAACTCGGAGCAGCCACGCTCGGGGACATGGGTATCGCATCGTTTAACTGCACGAAGCCTTCGACCTGGGCCCAAAACACGGTCTAGCGTAGACTATTTTCTGCTCATTCGCTCCGCTCCGTCATGTATATGCACGCACTTCAGCCTTAGCACCCTTACACGACTCGTCGTGTCGCATAGTCCCTCCTTTCCTTTTTCTTTAGTCCACCCTAGGGTCTAGGATCTGATGCTATCCAGCCCACCCGCTCGGCTTTTAGACTTCCCTCTCCCCCTTCTCCTGATACCCCCTTCCTTCTTCTCGTCGTCGTCTGTTCCAGTGTTTATTCACATCGCAATCCTACATGCGATGAGGCCTCGCGCTCTCGGTGCTCAACTGTCTTCCAGCCTTTGAATTTCGCCTTCAACATCGCTTTCGACCGGAAGCAACCTTGAGTCTGCTGTCAGTTCACAGCATCCTAGTCGTCTCGTGTAGTCGCCATATGGAGGGCAAAAGGTTGCGACAATGGGCTTCTTGAAATTCTTCTCGTCCAAAAGGTCATCTGACAAGTCATCAAACGGTATCAAGGCGCAAGCATACGATGCTACCACAGCTTCTCTTCCCCCGCTTCTAGGTAGGATTGATCCAATACTCAGCCCAACTTCGTAGTCTAAACTTACATGAATCCCTAGGTACCTACCCGGTTGCCGGCAATGGACCAACCAATGTCTTCGAGGACCTTCAACGGTCTCATCATAAGATGAGCGAAACCAACTTGTCTCTTGCAGCGGGTTCCGAAGCTTCTGCCCCGGCACCGCCCGTCTTGCGATTCCGTGATTCCAGCGTCGAGCGCCCGAGTTCTGCGCCGGGCAGCGCTGTACCTCCCAGCTTTTCACCGTCTCCGTCCGGCCGCTGGGGGAGAGACTCATCGAGGGGTCCGCCTCTGTCGTTTAGGAAACCACGAATCGGGTCACTTACATCGACGACGTCTGGTCTATCGGGACTATCTCCCGCTCCAAAACGAAGCAGCAACTCTACAGCAATACCGTTCGAGGGAGATCCGTTTCGCCCACCGACTGCTCCCTTCACCCATAACCGCCACCTTTCCATGCAAAGTACAAGCACAGCCGCAGTCAGAGGCTTCATTGATCTGCTGGATGCACAATCCGAGATCAAGCCTTCGGGATTTCAGAGTCGAGTGAAGGCATCGGGAGCTCGGGATTACGGAGAAGATGTTGCTGACCGCAACATTGGCGAGAATGGAGTAGACCTTGAATCCGACAAAGTCCAAGCATTTTACGCAATAAACGGTGGTAGTCCGCGGGATCGACACAACGGCGCGTTTGCGGTTCCAGCAAGAGCCCAATTCGGAGACAAAGAACAAACGTTCAAGCCCCCCCGACGCCACGATTCACTGGACAACGAGGCTCGCACGAAGTCTCTGACATCGGCGAGCCTCGGCCAGGTACCATTCCGAACTAACATATTCAATCTTGAAGGCTCCCTTGACCGCGAGCCAATCACGGAGTCTGTTTCGGAGACGATTCGTGGTCGTCGAAGGCAATCGCTAGGTGCTTACATTCCTACGACGCCATCGAATGCAACAAACGGTAGAACGCTGAGTCTAAGAAAATCGACAGCGGATGCTTCTGGGTCCCCAAATGGTCGAAAGCACAAGAGGCGATCTACTCTCGGAGGCGAAGCCCCCCTGAACGAATTGGGCATCTTTACATCTGGGAGAGGGCATCTTGATCCATCGATGTCACCAAAGACGACCCAAAAGCCAACGTACTTGGTCAAGCACAACTACTCGTTACCGGTTCAGCAACGACCAAAGACTTCGTCAGGTCTTATCCACACTGAATCATACCAGGCGGTGAGGCCGCCATCCCGCGGAGGGTCAGTAGCCAGTCCCACATTCTCCTCCCCAACCCAGA